TGTAAAAAAAGAACCATTCTCTCAGCTGATTTGTTCAAAATGGGGCTTCATTCAGAAACCAAATGTTGCTCACAGATGCGCACCTCTTCTGATGTGGATGTTGAAGGCAGTTGTTATTTGCATTAAGTGCAATAAATTCTATTTTCACCATGTAAGAATTTTTTTTTATTTTATTTTCAATAAGTGATAGTAATTAGATGCTATTAATACTTATTGCAAACAGTGATAAATATTTGGTGGGAAAAGGGAGAAGAGCAGGAGTTGAATGAGTTCGACACAAGGCTGATTCAAACTCGTGGTTGATCACATCAAATCTTATCACCATGTGTCTCAAATAGGCGTATTTTCTAATTATGTGTATCCCAAAGGTTGTATGGAGCCAGTTTTGTTGGCGCTATGCAGCAAATCAGACAATACTGTTCTTTTAAGTAGGCTAAGTCACTATATTAACTTTTGTTATGAATTGCATAAAATCAGCATCAAATATTCAGCTGGGATTGAGTTGGGCAGGTCATTCGACCAGGAGGGAACAGTTAATGAAAAGTCAGTGAAAGTGATTTTGTGCCTGTTTGGGATGCACAATAATGCGTCGTTCACTTGCAGAACGCAAGCTTCTAGAGGGCACATAACTCTGAAGTAATGAATTTAGGTAAAGGGGTGCAGAGCCAGTGGTGTAGGCAAACATTAATGCCTTGAATTTTATGCGAGCAGCTACAGGTAGCCAGTGCAATTTGATAAACAGAGGTGTGACGTGCGTTCTTTTTGGCTCGTTTCTAGCTGTTTTTGAAGGAGTTATGGTTGATGAGCCTAACTGGATGGTGAAATTTTGATAAAGTGATGGGTTTGTTGAAACCACAAGCAGTTCTGTCTTAGCCAGGTTGAGTTGAAGGTGATGGTCCGTCATCCAACAAGAAATGTCTGTTAGACATGCTGAGATGCGAGCAGCTATCGTCGGATCATCAGGATGGAATGAGAGGTAGAGTTGAGTGTCATCAGCATAGCAGTGATATGAAAAGCCATGTTTCTGAATGACAGAACCTAGTGATGCCATGTAGACAGAGAAGAGAAGTGGTCCAAGTACTGAGCCCTGAGGCACCCCAGTAGCTAGATGTTGCGACTTGGACACCTCACCTCTCCAAGATACCTTGAAGGACCTATCTGAGAGGTAAGACTCAAACCACTGGCGTGCGGTTCCTGAGATGCCATTTTCCAATAGGGTTGACATGAGAATCTGGTGGTTCACCGTATCAAAAGCAGCAGACAGATCCAGCCAAATAAGTATAGAAGATTTGGAAGCCGCTCTTGCCAGTCTTAGGGCTTCAACAACTGAAAGCAAGGCAGTCTCGGTCGAATGTTCACTTCTGAAGCCAGATTGGTTGCTGTCCAGGAGGTTGTTCTGTGTGAGAAAGGCTGAGACTTGGTTGAACACAACTCGTTCAAGTGTTTTTGCAATGAAAGGTAGAAGGGAAACCGGTCTGTAGTTCTCTAAAAGAGTTGGGTTAAGAGTGGGTTTCTTAAGAAGTGGGGTTATACGAGCCTGTTTAAATGTTGAGGGAAAAACACCAGTGTGAAGGGATGTGTTAACAATGTGAGTGAGTGCAGGTACAACTGCAGGAGAAATGGCTTGAAGGAGATGAGATGGAATAGGATCAAGCGGACAAGTAGTAGGATGATTGGAAAGGATGAGTTTAGAGACTTCTGTCTCAAAGAGTGGAGAGAAGGATGTACACAAGTGTATGTTTGCTCATAAGATGTGTTTGACAGTTTGTGGTGTGGCAAATTGTGCACTGAGGTTTGTAATTTTATTAATGAAGAATGTGGCAAAGTCGTCAGCTGTTAGAGTTGATGAAGGAGGGGGAGGAGGAGGACAAAGGAGGGAGGAAAATGTTTTAAAGAGCATGCGAGAGTTAGGCGAATTGTTAATTTTGTTGTGATAGTATGTCCTTTTAGCAGTGGAGGCATTAGCAGAGAATGAAGAGAGGAGTGATCGATATACATTAAGGTCAGTAGGATTTTGTGATTTGCTCCATACTCTTTCTGCAGCCCTGAGCTTAGAACGATGCTCACGGAGAGCATCAGATAGGCAAGGGGCAGAAGAGGTGGTACGAGCTGGCCTGGAAGACAAGGGGCAGACAGTGTCTAAACAAATGTAAGAGTGGAGCAGAAAGTATCAGTAGCACTTTTAACATCAAGAGATGATAACTGTTCAGGGGAAGGAAGCGATGATGAAACCATAGCAGATAGCCGGGAGGGTGAGAGTGAGCGTAGGTTACGTCGAAAAGTGACATGTGTAGGGGTATGTGTTGTGTGGAACCATGTTGAGGTTAAGAGTGAGGAGGACTGATCCGGAGGTGTGCAGTGGAGTAACAAGCACATGATCAGTGGAGCAGTGTCGTATGGAAAGCCGTTGTAACATTTAATCTATAAGCCGTACTAGTATCTATTTTCATGGT